CTAGGTGTTCTGTGGATGCACAGGGGGACGTGATGTATGACACACAAAATGCACAGCCTAGAGGTGCAACATATAATGGTTCACTGTTTTAAGAGTAAGGCAACTGGTAGCTATGAGTATGGGGACTGGCCAAGGTTTGCAGGCCTCCAGAACCAGGAGTTCAGGAATGAGAATCAGTATCAGGGCTGTTCATGATGTTTGTGCCCAGGACACCAGCAGGAGATGAAGATTAAGAACATGAAGTATTTTGAAAAGGATATTCATATCCAGCCTTCCATCATGCTTTATCTGTCTCTATTCAGTATCATTAGCTCCTCCTTTTGTTTTTCAAATATTAAATTTACTAAATAATATGGATAAATAAACAGACTGATCCAAACACAATGGAGCAGCTGGAGCAGCAGTGGAGAGCACCAATATGTGTGGGCAATTAATGCCATTCATGTTCTAACCGTCTCAGCAGAGCATCAGTGAAATTCCTCCCACTGATAATTTCTGACTTACAATCACTTCTTATGAGGCTCTGTTAAACTGCTGTGCTGGAATGGGATAGCAGGCACACAAATGCTTTTTGGCTATCTGGCCTTCTTGTTATGGTAGTACTCTTTTTAATGCAACTTCCTCCATCTGCCCTCTTCACACTCAGGCTGTTTTTCTCCATCTCCAGTGTCTTCAGAACTTCTTTTTCCACATGCACCATCTATTCAATGTCCTCCCCTGAGCTGCATACTATCCAGAAAACCTTGTCCCCAAACCAAAATCACATTATCATTAATATCATGCATGCAAATATGTCTGAAAAAAGACCTGGCTTGCAGATCGCATCTGAGATGTATGCACTGCAACCGGACAAACCCATCAACCATTTAGAAATCTGGCTCCTGGCAGTTAAATTGCAAAAAGAGATGATCTGAGCTTTCACAGCTTTCTCCCATCGTAGCCAGATGGTGCCTGACCCCTGCTATCATTTCTGCCATATTCCGCCCATATGAAAACCTCACTGCTTCCATCAAGCTGTTAGCAACAATTAACATTTTTCAGAACTGAGACTTTGACAAACATTGACAGAGAAATGTGAAGATTTCATAAATTCTCCCCCGCACATTAATTCTATAGTGACCACCTCAAGCTTTTCTGAAGACCTCCATCTGTACTATCTAAGCACTGCCCCAAGTAAACTAAATCTGAATGGCTGGCTCCATAACAGACCCTGGGAAATGCTATTGCTATTCTCCCTTCCTTAGCTACCAGAAATTAAAATCCAGTTTTCCCTCTATGCCTATACAGCTAAAACTCCCATACAGATACTCTCTATTTCCAGTGTCAACTACTTAAACCTCTTCCTCTTCATCTCCAAGCTTCTTCCTGGGACCCCCATCCCTCATCTCCAGCACATGAAGAACACAGTTGTTGGCATTACCTTTCTTACCCCCCCCCCCTTCTAATCATATAGATGTTTTCCAAAAACTATTAATAGATCCTTTTCCATTTTGACCTTCAGGCACTGCTTCTCCTTTTTTATTCATTCATCAACTCTTAAAGCATTGTCACTCCTTTCCTGATATCCACTAAAAAACAGCTCTGCCTATTTGTTATGATGTGCCATCTGAACTGCAAATTCCTCAAAATTCCTCTAGAATAATACATCTTAAGACTGAAGGTTCAAAAAGACTTAGATTTTATGCAAATAAAATTAATGTGCATGTTTGATGTCTATGTACTACACTGTTTATATATTCTGCCTCTTTAATTTAAAAAGTTCACTCCTATTTTTCAGTCTTCTTCCTACATTATAGCATCAGTTGTGCTGCAACCCATGACATGGCTAGAGACATCTATAAAATAAAAACAATACTACTTGGTATTGGGTTACCTTTAATCCTAATAAAAATGAACTAAAAATAGAACTTAAGCACTTGGATGTATGATGCAGGCATATTAATGCTACTAACTTAACAGAATCTATGCAGCCAGAACCTGTACCTAGAAGGAAAACAAGAGAGAAGAAGAGCCCATACTTTATACTGAGGGGATGAAACATTGAGTTAGGTTCAAAACAACAGGCCAAGCTTCACTAGAGGTTTGTCTAGTCAAGGCTTATACTCTCTGACCACATGAAATTTGTATCCTGTCAGGGTTGCCCCTCCTCCTATAATCAGTTGCAGCTGAGAGTGAAAAAAATTCCTTCCCAGCTGCCAAAGGCCGGAGAGGATCACTTGCCTCTTCAGAGATCACAGTTAGCCTCCCCTGAATGTCATATGCTGACCCTTGGAGACATATTTGTGCTCAAAACTAGCTCAGGCTTCTCTCCTACTGTGCTACTCTGCATTGCACAGATAAATCATAAAATTTCAGGACTAAACAAAGAAAACACACTACAAACACCACTATCTCCTGGTTTTGGATAGATGTCACAGTAAGCTTTGCCATCAGTGCTTTATTCCTTAACAAAGGATAGGAGACAAACCCTGTAAGGAGTTTCACAAAGCCAATTAATTTCTGCTTGACTCATTCAAAACTCCACTCAATGAAGCACCAGCTGCTTTGACAACGGAGAACAACTCACTACATATACAGAAAACCCTTCTCAGCCTGAGTACTTGGCTTTCTAGTTAGACACACTTCCTTATACATATTATCAAGGTTACAGCTCCACCTGTGATTTTTTTTTCCAGGGTTCTGACAATTATTTAGCCCTGCTCTTTCACCATTAACTGCAGCTTCCTGTTATATCTGTTGGCTAAAACTAGATGTGAGGAAAAGTACAACCGTCACCTGTTTTTATTCTTCCTAGTAATACTATTGGTAACTCAGCCTGGGGCTGAAGGGGTCTGGAAAAATTATGGACTGAAAATTGAGGAAGTGTTAATTGCATAGCTTTCTTCATGAAATATTACATTTCCCTTTGTTTTTTGTTGTTTTTTTTTCCCCATTTTGAGGTGTTTCCCCATTAGAACCCTCAGCTGTATTTGCATCTGGTGAGTTAGCTAAAGTGAAATTCTCTTCACAGGCAAGGAAACACACATTCTGTGCACATTTTAACAGCAGCTAAAAGCATTACGTTATCACTACTAACAGCGGGGCTGCTAGTAAGTACCAGTCTGTCTTCAAGTTTAGACAACTCCTCATACACATCTCCTATCGCAGCCTAATCAAATGAAGTTTACAAACCACATTCTGATTATGTGGTTATCTCATTATTAAGTAGTTGCTTGGGTTTTCTTCACACAGAGCACTGTAAGACAGGGATGGCTATGTTAGTCGTTCTTGGCACCTTACGCAAGCTAATAGAATACAAATGATTATATAAATAATAAAACTGTTGAAGATTTTCTTGTCGCTTTCTCTGCTCCATTGACTTGACTTAAAGCACACATAAAAATGGCCTAAGTGTTCTGTTCATAGCATCCATAAATAAAATTAAGATCCTGACTTAAAGAGACACTAAGAAGCTGTATCTCCTCTCGATTTCAATCGAACAAGGGTGTTCAGTGTCTGTGAAAATCAGGCCCAAGGGTCTGTATATGAAAAGGATTTGATCTCTGCTTGACAGATTTCTTCAGCATGGCAATCTCCTTTCCTATATAATATTAAAGTTAAATGCTCATTTCCAACATGTGTGCATCTCCTTAATTAATTCCGAAGTCACATAGGACAGGAACTCCAGACTCTGAAGGCCATTGCTCACATCAAAGCACTGGCCCATCACATACAAGCCTTGGCACCAGAGCTTGAGCAGTTTTGGACATAGTACAAGACTCACCTGGCATTGATGTTTCCATGACTTCTGCAGGAAAACTAAGCTCTGCTTTCCCTTTGATATTAAATGTTGATGCAAACTGGATACTATGACAGCCCTTATAGCTGCAAATAAAATTAGACCCATCTTGTGTAAAACAGTATTACTCTAGAACTATGATATTTGGAACACTTATTCTGAACTAGCCAGCAAGCTGACCAATAGAAAACTTCCATATAGCTTTTAGCAAACTTTTCCAACATGCTGTGGTCATGTCAGTATCTGTATATTCATTAATGACAGCAATCATTAAAAATTTATTTGGAAAACTAGGAGAAAAGACAAATGCTGACTGCAGGGCATGGTCCCTAGAACTACCAGTAACTACAAAACTGCACCAAGTTTTAGACTTAGGCTTCAGCTTCATCTTTCTTTCCAGGCACCACTAGTCTACTACACTGGTTCCTGCAGCTCCCAAAGCAGCCCAGTCTCTACTGCCAATGTGTGGATTTTGTCCAAGCTGTGACAAAACTATGTGACAAGGTCAGCCCACTAAAGAAAGAAAAGGCACACTAAAGAATACCGCAGCATGAGCCATCTACCTCTGCTGACCAATACAGCAGTGCTTTGCTGTGTGGACTTACCAATACAGTGCACTTCACGTCCACATGTCCCATTATTATCATTTCTCCATTATATCCTCATGTTGCATTTTGTCACCTGATTTTATGTATTTTATACTATCTTCAACTCTCAATTTTCTCATGTTTCTGTCTCTGCATAATCCTGGATAATTGAGAACTTACTCTATTCATAGGTGAAATCCAGGAGCTAGAAAGGATCCCAAAAGGCTTCTGATTGAGTGTATTTTTCATCCAAAAATGCTGCTTGGCAATCAACAGCCATTTATCTTTTCCTTTCTTCTTCCCTTTTAATGAATACTGCCTTAGTGTCTAGAGGATTGTATCACTTCCCACTAAATGGCTAACAGCCTACAGAAGACACCTCTTTTGCTATCACATGTATTTTTTTCTGTAATCAAGTACCGGAAGTCTGATCTTTACCATAAGACTATGAGTTTTGTGATTAATGCCTTGTGTCCAGCTGAATGAGTTTATCTTTACTGAGCTTTTACAATTTTAGCATAAAATTCAGCATCAGGGAAAGACATTGTGTGTATAATGAAAGGCGGGAAACAGTAATGATTTAGAGTAAGCAAAACTACAGAAACAAGAGAAGATCGTTAACTTGAAGCAGTTACCTCTTTGAGGCAGCCCATGAAGTTGTTGCTTACTGGAGAGCCAGGTAAATCAGCAGTACTGGGGCTTCCTCCCACATAAAAGAAGTCATCTGATCCCAGCATGGTATAGTCCTCCTGCGTGTAGCCTGTGGTGGTAAGGATGCCATCCACAGAGATCGTCACCTGTTCAAGGAACATAATGAACAAAAAAAATCCCAGCAATGACCTTACGATCCTGAGCAGAAAACATTACCTCCCCTATATTTTTAGGCCAGTTTTATTAAGGATTTTGTTGAGATTTGGCATGTATTTTTTAGCACAACCAAGCTCCATTTTCTGGTCTGCTTTGCCCACAACAGAAATACTCCAGCATCTGCTCAGCCCCTCTTTGGTACAACAGTGCTGATCCCGCATTCCCTATATTATGATGCTTTCCGTCTACTCAGGCCAGAAAATGGAACTGTCCTTGAGAGAGAATTCTGATATTTGTTGATTTTTTTATGATTAATTAGTATTTATTTAATGATTACAGTTAGTTATGGTTGTTAGTAAAAAAAATAATAATAATAAAAAAAATAAAACCACTAATGAAGACGAAGTTGGTATTTTTTATTTTTTATGTTTCTTTTGCTCACAGCACACTGACGATCATGCATTCGGGGAGGGGTGGGGAAGGATCTCACTTTCAATACGTTATGGATGTGCATGCCATGTACCTAGAGACACACATACCCGCCACCTACCACAAAAATAAAATAAAATAAAATAAAATAAAAAACAGGCAAAATCATAATCAAAATATAAATAGGAAATGAAGAACCAAATAAAACAAAATTAATATCAACAACACACCAACAAGTATGAGAGAAGCAGAGAAGAGAAAGGAAGAAAACACAAAGCGTGCACACACTGCACTTTGACATGTCATGCCAATATATCTGGAACCCAGAAAGACAACAGGAAAAAAGAGAGAAAAGAGAGAGAAAGTGAAAGAAAAAATTAACACTTGCATGCAATCACCAAAAATAAAAATACCAAACAGAACTCAGAATAATCCAAAATGAAATGAAGTCCCCAAGACCTCTAAGCTGAAACACATGGAGGGTGAAGGGGAACGGAAGGAGAGGGAGGGAGAGGAACACGTGAATTTGATGTATTTTGCTTAGATGTTGTTAGTGGTGTAAGGGGAATATGGAGGAAAAGAGACTGAGGCCAGTAGGAGACAGGCGAGTCACCAGACGTGGACATGCCATGCAGAGTGTGTACTGAAACAAACAACTGGCTGAGCTCCTTTCGGCCAGCGGGTGGAAGGTCAGAAAGAGCGAGAGAAAGTGAAAGAGGAGAGAGAGAGGAGGGAGAGAGGTGGGGGAAAACCGGGAGAAAGAGGACAACTCCGGCCAGTTTGCCTGTAACAGCCGTTGCCACAACGAAAGGATGAGAAAAAGAGAGCCTTCACCGCAACAGACTAGAGGCCCTGCAATGGTTCTGATCTAGAAACCTTCAGAGAAAAAAAAAAAAAACAGGGCAAAAATCAAAAGAGGAAAAAAAAAAGGAGGAAAAAAAAAGAGAGAAAGCTAAAATCAAAAGCAAGAGAATTGTAATACAAAACAAAAATTAAAGAGGGAGGTGAAAAAAATCAATGAAAGAAATGCCCAGGCCCCATTTTCAGAAAATCTGTGTTTACTTTTGTTATTAATATTTTTTTCTGAAAAAAAAAAAAAGGAAAAAGGAAAAGAAAAAAGGAAAAATTTGCTTTCAATGAAATTAAAGTAAAATTAACGCAAGAAGTAAGTATAAAAGAGAGGGGAAAAAGGGGGGGTTAGGGAAGGAAAAGGCAGGTAACACACGGCAAACCCAAAAAAAGAGACAATAAGAATGATATCTACCAGACAATGTAGTTTGTTTACCATAGCGTGTCCAATGCCTGAGTGCTTTGCGGAAAAGGGGGAAGAAAGGAAATTAAAAAATCGTGAACAGAACGATTGTTAATTAAAATAACTAAAAGCAAAGATGAGTCGTTAGGGTGTTAGTACATTAGTTGGTTAGTAAAAATGACACATTGCATGAATGGTCTAGTGTTAGTCTTTCAAAAAAAGGCGTGGGGCGCCTGACACACACAGAGTGAGAAAGAGGACAATATGAGCAGGACTCTGTGGGGAACCATGCCATCTGGATTGTAAAGAGAAGAGCACTGCCTAGTCTTCCCACTCTGGTGATATTCATTAACTCCCACCCTCATACATCTTATCCAGGCCTGGATCAAAGTGAAAACAGTGTAATACTTACTCTTCAAATGCCCATTAAGTTTCTTCCCTTAAAGAAAAACCTTTTCCTCAAATGTACACACCATTTTGCCCCTTCAGCCCAAACCCAGTCATGACTCCTTCTTCCACCCCCATCATCTTTACATCTCTGCTCATCGCTACCCTAAAGCACTGCACAGGACTGAAAGCAGGCCAAAGTTTCCTTTGCCTGGAGACTGTAGATGAAGATGGATCCAAGCCTCTCGAGTATGGCTTTCCAAGTTTCCCAGTTTGCAGGGTTCTGTATACCAAGCTGAGCTTGTGACTTTCAGGACACATACAAAAATGTATGTGTTTGGTCATTTGCTTGTAGCTCACCTGCGTGATCTGAGCATATAAATGAACTTCTAGGTAGGAAGAACTGTGTCAAAGAGTTCTGAAGGAAGATTTGCAGCAGGTTTCCTGTGTCAGGGTTGGAAGACAGAAGGCTCATGATACTTACTGTCTCTCCTTTTGTCTGCAATATTGTATCTACATCGCAGAGCTGAGGGAACTCACCAGTTGGTTCTCTTAGTTTGGTTTGGCAGAGCTTTGGAGATGCTTTGTTGTTCCCTCCCCAGGCACGCAGATGCCAACTGCTCAGACTTCTGCATTACTTCTCGCTTGCTTTTTAGCATCTGGGGAACTTAAAATCTTTATGCAGATTTTGCATGGTTACTAGCTTCAATGTTAAGAATGTTAAGAGAAGTGCAGTCAGGCTGTATAGGGTCCAAGCCCTTGTTCCATTTTGATCCAGGTTGACAAGGTTATCCTAAATTATACAAATAAGATCTGTCCTGATGCATGTGAAACTATCTTCTTGGACATTCCAGAAAGTTGTGCATTGATTAAGGAAATAAAGTGTGTGAGAACTTCATGGGATTGAACATAATATCATCAGGTCCTAAGTCTATTTTATTTATCTTTGCAAATGAAGTAATAATAACCTGCAGTTGGTGTTTTGGGTCCAGTGAACTCCAAGTCCTCTGAAATCTTAAAAGAAGTCTCACTCTGAGCATCTTCTGTATTATTATTAAATTCATTTTTGCAAACAAGAAAGTTGTGGTACAGAGTGGGGAATAGAGCATGCCAGTAATGACATGAAGCAGAACTGCAGCAGAACTGAAGACAGACATGGAACATCTGACCTTCAGTCTCCTCCACTCCTCCTCCCACCAGACAACTCTGCCCCAAATGTGTTCTGAAAGTCCTAGTAAAGCACAGCAATGATCCTGTTTCTAGCAAAGGTTTCTCACAAGGCAGAAACAGGGCTTAGTACTAACTGAAATAATAAGATAAATAAACAAGGAGATTTGTTTTGATATTAACAATCGCTACTCAAGGGAATCTGAGGGTTCACTTGGTTTGTCTCTAAGGAGATTAACTCCTATGATAATCACTCAATCTAAAAAAAAATAAAGCACTTTTCCAGCTTAGCTGCAAAACATTTAACAGTTCTAGAAAGGACCAGGCAAAAAAATCAGCTATTAAAAGTTCTGCTCTAAGAACAGCCAAGAAATTATGTAAATCCTCCTCCTCTCCTTCCCTCCACCGTGCAGAGGAGTAAACTAGATGGCATCTTGACACTTTTTCTAGCCTTCTTACCTGGAATTGTTTTAGTTCTGGATGATATTATTGGAATTTCCATATTTTTTTATTCTCATTTTAATGAGAAACGTATTTCTCTCCAGTGCAAGATTCTGAACTAATTACAGGGAGGCTATTAATTACCCTATAAAACCACAATATTCTCTTTCTCTCTTGTTTTTGGTTGGTTGGTTGGTTTCGTTTTGGTTTGTTTGGCATATCTGCTAACAAGGCTTTTCCAAACAAGCCTAGACCATATTATACTTTAAGTTTGTACATGAGTTTATATCAGTGAACATGCTTAATAGGTAATTTATTACACATAAATTTGTCCTTTACTAAATCTTCTATATTAAGATCTCAAAGGACATCATATAAACTACAAAACCAAGACAAATGGACTGTCTGAAAGTATTTTACAGATTAAGAAACACTCTCTCCCTCCCCTCATGTCTCTCTCTCACATGGACGTGCAGACACACAGAGTATACAAGTTGCTGAAAGCTGTTATCAAAATGGAGTGTGCCTTTATCTTTGTTGTTGTTGTTGTTAAACAAAGCCCTTTAAAGGTCAAGATATATGGTGATCACTTTCAGTTGTGTCCTGAAACATGTACATTGCAAGTATTAATTAAATATCAGAAACTCAAGCTTTCAATCTCTTTCAAATACTTTATCCTGAAGATCGAAGGGTTTTAAGACTTCTTGAGCCTCTTTAATTTTAGAAAGTTCAAAACCTTGACAGGAAGACCTTGGCATTCCAGGCTTATCTTTATATGAAAATGGTGGCTAAACTTACCAATAATTTTTGGATGGCAACTTTCAGGACTACCAGAATTGCCTTTCCTCAGGCCTCATAGGTTCCAATTTCTAGGTAGTTTTAGGTTCTCAGTCATTACCATAATTTTGAGACTGAACTTGGAAGTGAGAGGTTAAAATGAAAGCAACCAGGGAAAATATACAGATCAAAAAATTCCAGTCTTATTGACATTTCTTGGTTGAACTGAATTCTGCCATAGGTATTAAGAGAATTGGACAACATAACATTTCTACTATTAAAAAAAGAAAAAAAAAAAAAAGGTCTTTAATAAGATAGCTTTGTCACCTTATTAAAACACTCCCTGTCTTGCCCAGTAAAGCAAGACTCTAAGAATTCAAGATCACATGGAAATACCCAGAGTGAACAGATCAGAATGGCTAGACATTTGGGGTGTTACTTAACTGGCAAGGGATTTCTCTGCTTCTAATGATCACCAAAAAGCTTTCTTGGTCTAGTCAAAGAGGAACAGACATATTTCCTTTTAATTGTGTATCTAAAAAACAAAACAAAACCACCCTCTGGAAGGTCGTGAAAGGAGACTAAAAGCTTCCCATTCAATTTCAGCTGTGACCCTTCTTCACTTTCTACTTCTTCAAGATCCATACCAACCATGGCACAAAGCATGGATATATTTTGTTTCAGGCATAGGATCTCATTGAAAGTTCATTTCCAACAACAATCTACTTTGTTGGTCATTATTTAAATGACCAATAAATCATTCGGAGATATTCAGAGGCCAACTATTCTGGCAACATCAAAAATTAATAAACACATCAAATAAAGGGATATATTACAACTACTTCAGACTGACAGGCCTCAACTAGTTGCTAGTCCTTTAAGGGATCATTGCAAGTATCTGAATAAAACAGGACCATTAAGACCAATTCACTGCATAAGAAATTAAATTTGCTTCTGCATAGAAACTAGTGAAAAATAGACTAAAATTGCTGTCAGTAGTGATGCAGCAGACTCACCAAAGTTGAATCACAAATCTGTCCTCCAATACCCAGACATCTTGAATGTACAGAAATATGGGAATTCGAATGGTATATACAGCTGTATTGCATTCCAACACCAAGTATTTGAAATAAAGATGTAAAATCCCCACAGATGACAATTCATATGTGGACATCTATTAATTGAGACTCTTTCTGACCCTTGGTACTGGCCTGCACTCACAGATACACTTTATCTTAGCCATTGTAAAATATTACTGCAAACATTAATGAGCAAATAAACAAAACATTGTTCTTACAAATTGATTTTAAAATTTGTTTTTAAAATTCAGTTTACAAGCTATTTATGCTGCCTTTTATCAATCAGCAAGACATCAAATAGTGTGTATCCACCATGCAAATGTAATTTATCATGCAGTGGATAGGCCTTAGTGACTTGATACATTCACCAGCTTTCTGAGGTTATTTAATTTCATTTTTATCTATTTATGTCTGAATATACATTTCATGAGGAAGGCTTAAGGATTTTAAAGCTAACCTACTATCAAATACATCACCTGCTTGAGTTGTCTGCTTAGGAATTAGTATGCAGATATACAAAATTACAGTGGCAAAGTCAGACAAAACTTTTCCAAAGTGGAATTGTACAGCATTGGATTGGGTTTGGCTTTTTGGTCCTTCCACTTTTCCAGTCCTCACAATCAACAGGAGAGTCTCATAAACAGAGACATCAGAAATAAAGGAGAATCCCATCACAAAAATAAGAGGAAAAGACAAAAGAGAAGAACAGAGAATCAAGAAGACTCAAAAAGACTCCACCCAATTCATTACAAATGTATAGAGTTAAAATAATTCCACAAATACCCACCAGTCTGCAAACCTACACACACACACAAACACACACACACTCACGGAGAGAGAGAGAGAGAGGAAAAAAGAAAAAAGAAAAAAAAAAGGAAAACCAAAGACTTACAGAATTAGAATTATGGCATCATGGCAATGGTTAAACCAATTAATAAAACTTGAAGGAAAAGGAGAGAGGTGTAGAGAGTTAGCTGTTGGAAAAAGATTCCATTCCCACAGTAATTAAATGTAACAAGAATACTACTGATAAGATTGAATCACAATTAAGGAAATAATAATATAAAAAAGAGAACAAAAAAGAGAACCAGAAAAGGGAGATGAAAGTAAAGCTATGTCTCAAGTTTTTATTATTCAAATCAAACTAGAAAAAAGAGAAAAATAATAAAATAGAAATGGAGATATTGCAACAGGGCTAAATTCTCTTCAACTTTCACTGTCCCTTGAATACCGAGCTCCAGAAAATACACAGAGGCTTTGATGATCCCCCAAAGCATTCCCCTATCTCCTTTACTCCCTCCCACCTGCCTCTGTCCAAACAAAAAAGAATGAAGTTTTCCCACCATTTTCTCCCCTTCACCATTACCTGCCGCAGGTTGCGTGTCACTTTAACGTCATGCCACGCGTTGTCATTGAATTTGCCATTGACAGGCTCCACAATGGCCTCGAAGGCCCCAGACCCCAGGTTAATGACCAGCGAGACCGCACCATCTTTCAGAGCCAGGTTGACATAATCGGCTGACTTGCCGGTGTGCAAAATGAGCCCGTTGCGTTGCCATGTCTTGAAGGAGAGAGTGATCTCATCGCTGCTGCTCTGGATGGGGTTTTGGGACAGGTCATAGCAAAGATATTCTGAACCACGGAAAGTGGCCATGTTCTCATCTCGTGCTGGAGAAAAAAAAAAAAAAAGAGAGAGAGGAAACAAAAAAAAAGAAGCTATTTAGCAGTTAGGCAAAAAGATATTTGAGATCATTATGAAAATTCTCAGAAATTCCACTTCACTATAGATGTTCCATACAACTATATATCATAACATGTTAATGACTGCACTGCTCCTGTTGTAGTACCGCTATCAAGAGAACTAACAGCAGGGTCTACAATCCTCATGAATTTCAGTGTTGTTTTTTCAGTTTCAGTGCAGAAAGAACTATTACCACAGGGCCCATTGAGAAGCATGCAGTGCATCTAGAAAAATGCACCTTTAAAGACACTGTTGCAAGACAAATTACATCCTATTGAGGAAAACAACAGAAGACTCTACCATTAAACACATAACTGTCATCTGTGAATTGCGCATAAGTGTTTCAAATGGAATTAACACTCTCCTCAAATAATAATATTTAGATTAATTACTAATGTCTCCTTAAGTAATAACAATTCATCTGCTGTGCCATCTAAACTGGACACCAGAATGTAACGCTGATTGAACTGTCCTTTCTTTCAACAGACCCAGCAGTAAAGAAAGCTGCCTGAAGTGTCCTACAGTTTCTTTCTTGAGAATATGAAAGAAGTCTACATTAGTCCACAGCTGTCAACACTTCTCAGAACTCTGCCTATTTGATTGTCATATCTGTAGTTTTGAATGTTACTCTACAGAATGAAAATCCCTTGCAAATCCATAAGCTGGGAGTCTCCTTCCTAAAACCTGGGCTTGCACAACAGACACACAACCGATTCTTCTACTAAATTGTACTATGTGACGTATTGAGCTACACACTCTGATGTCATGCAACGGAAGGAATACAAGAGTATAGCCATAGAGCTTGCAGGTGGTTTGCCTGTAGCTCATTTCTTCCCAGTGCTTTCCAAGAGATAACTCCACTACAGTGCGGTCTATACAGATCTGCTGATTTCCTCTCTCAGTATTGCGACCTGTTTTGGACTCCCAGCCATGAAAGAGAGTCTAAGTGTGAAATGGGTTTGCACCAGTTTGACTGGTGCAAACAGTCAAGCTGTCACTACTTACTATCCACTGCATACGGTGCCCAAGTGTGGTGCCACTGACATAAAAACTGACTGATTGCCATTGACATAAAAACAGTTTGCTGTTTCATTTTGTCTCATTTGGTAATTTTAATAAAGATTAGGCAGAATTTGTTAATTCAGTTTCTGGGGGGAGAAATGCTTGTTGTCATAGCTATTTCTGGAAAGTAATTATGTGGTGAAATCCATGTCCTCACAGCATGAAACAGTATTCACAAAAGAGCACGACGCGGCAACATGAATACATGCCCTTCTCAAATGATAGGTCTGCATTAAACACACTTTTGCAGTCTTGACTGAGGATATCACATTAAAAAGTCATTAAAAAATCTAGGCTCTAGATAGCAGCTGTAGCCCATCTTTGTACTCATGTAAGTGTATTGTGTGTCTGCATTCCCTGGGAACACAGGGTAGCACAAATTACTCCATACAACAGCACAGTGCTGGCAAGAACGCAGCTTTACCGAAGACGACCTGGAAGCCCCCGTGGACAAGTTGGACAAAAGTCAGCAGTCAGCCCCTTCACCGAAGGAGAAAAAAAAAAAAAAAAAAAGGCTAACTATATCCTGGGCTCTACTATCAACGCTTCATACAGCAAGCCCAACAGTTCCCTCTGCCAGGGGTTCGAGTACTGTGTCTAACACTGAACTCCCCAGCACAAAAGTGATGTTGACATACTGGAACAAGTCTAGCAGCTACCAAGATGCTCAGCGCACTGCTGCAGGTGATAAATCTCTCAGCAGAGAAGCTGAGAGCTGGGTTTGTTCAGAAATGAGGGCTCAGGTAAGTCTATGTTGCGATCTGTACCTGTCTAATGGGACAGTGTAAAAAAGCACCAAATTCTTCTCAGAGGCATGCTGAGGAAGGAGAAGCAATAGACACAATGGGAGCACAACACAATTCTGACACAAAATAAGAAAAAGATATTTCACTATGAGAGTGTTCAAACTCTATACAAAGGGCCTAGAGAGACCATTAGATCTTCAACCTCGGCTGCTTGCAAAGGAGTTTTCTTCCTAAAATTTTCTTGCATGGCTCTTCACTTCTTTCCACACCTCTAACTTGGCAGAGTGGGCCACAGTCCCCTCAGAGATGGGCCTGCTCCGCCATGGAGCTCCTCCAGCCCTGCCCTGCGCTTCCCCTGCTCCATTTCTTCAAACGTGTGCCTCCAGTTGGCGTCTCTTGTACCCTTTTGTGTCCTCTTCTGTCTGCCCCACCAGTCTCCCTCATCCTGTGCCTCATGCTCTAGCAGTACAGCCCTTTCTTCAACACATAAGCAGCCTCTGCGCCAGCTGCCAGGTTCATCCCTCCCTGAGGCACCATCGGAACCCGCTGCGACCAGCCCTTGTGGTTCTCCCACACAGAGCTCCCTGCAGCACAACCTGCTGCCTGCCAGGGCCACTGCCGGCCATCCAAAAGCATCTGGAAGTTGCTGGAGAGCACGGAGGGGAGAAAGGGGGGTGTGAGCTCTCCACAATCTGTGATTTAATGGAGCAAAAGCCCTGGGTTGGGTAGGCTACAGGTCTTACAGTCCCTCCCTGTACTTGCGGCCCTAGTCTGGTGATGCCCCAGGACCAAAGAGTGATAAATCATTTAGTATTTGTTAACTCGTGACCTTCACGCTATACGTTTCTGAAAGCTCCACAAACTTTGCACAAAAAGATCAGACATGTTGCCAAATTGCACTGTATTTATGGCTCTTATATTCTTGGAACAACTTGATAGCGTACCAAAGAACTTCTGTTCTTTGCGTAGCAACATGTGCAACCCCAGAGAACTAAACTTAACTCAAAGTCAACGGTTGTTACCATAACCAGCAACTCCTGTTATGTTAATAATGGTTTATGTTATGATTTTTATTTAGCTGGAATGGAAATCCCACTCTGCTGATGCTAACAGCAGTGATGTTTCAGCTGCTCACATGTGACAATGCAACTATCTTCTAAGGCTTCAGAATACAGTTTGCTTATGGCAGCATTTATGTTTTGAAACCACTGATATATGCAGGATTTTCAAGTGTTAATTTTTAATTTGCTTAACACTAGATAAATGCACAAAAATCAGAATCTGCTGATTACTTCGTGCTTGTAAACAATTACATATTCCATTCTGCTTGTTAGCATTAGTCTAAACCTATTACTTAGGCCACACTGACATGAGTAAGTTCTCTACAACCAAATTCTCTATGGAGCAAGAAGAAGCGTATGAAGCTCCACATTCATATTTAACATTTCATATTCAAAGCCTCACAAGTCAACAGAGTGAAACCAGGATCTACAAATTGACCATCGCAAACCAGGCCATTGAGCTAGGGGAGTCATCCCTTCACCTTAGAGATACAAGAAAACGTTATCCTCTTTTGATTAATCATTTACTGGCACAGCTAGTATATAAAGCACTGATCACCTCACCAAAAAGTCTATTTTGCAAACCTCAGGTCTGTTGTCTTTTCAGATTCCCAAAGCAGCCGCCATTAAGTACTATGGACAGATAGCAAGAACAGAAACCAATGCACAGCCACTGCTGCCTGAGCCACTAGCAGTGGAGAATCGCAGCCCTGCAGAAACCCCCAGAGCTTGTTAAATCTCACTTTCTCAAGACAGGCATAGACTGGGATCTTTCTGTATCGTATACAGGCATATTCCCCATTCAGGAGAGCTAGAGCTTTGAACTTAGTTTTTATGTGCAAATCTGTTGCAATGTGCTTCTGTCAAAGCTCTTCCTACAAAGGACTCAAATTAGAAACCAGGTTATTCTGAGCCACACAGAAAGGTGGCTGGTATTGCTCTCTCTTTAAAAGGTATTGCTTATGGCCAACAAGAAACTCAGTAACATAAAAAGCATCTGAGTCCAAAACTTTCTAGCTCCCAGTCCTCGGTTCAGTCAACTAGCCCTTACACATGTGCAGAGGGAAAATAAAGCTCTTATCTCTTCCAGTCCTGTTAGGAAGTCACTCCACCAAAGCATGCCTAGCAGGGGAGCTTCCAAAGTGTTAGATGATCCCTCAAACTATCTAAATGCCTTATGTTTCTGCAGCTGGAAATAGCACATTCTAGAAGCATTGATTCTGCCCAAAAGCAGGAAGTCAAATACTCAATCAAACAGCATCTGCTCAGGATTTCTGGTCTCAGACGAATAAAATGGAGAGTACCTTTCCTGAGTGAAGGAAACTTTAAGTATAACTCTTCATCAACAAAAGACAACTCCTAACCTTCTGCCAATATTCATTGCATTAGAACATGGTGAAGAGGGGGTCACAATCTGACTGGGGATTGGTTTACAACCAACACTGGAACATGCCTTCTGTCAGCAAAACACAAGTAAACTCTCTGGACAGATTGAAAAGTAATAATCACTCCAGTGCCTTGTGGATTTTACCTTATCTGAGTGGATATGTTGCATGGAAAAGCTAGTGCTCTCTGATAATCCAGGAATGGCCAAACCCTGTCAAGTGTCAGGCTTTTCTGCCAAACCACAGTTCATTAATGACCAAAGCAACAAAACAGCTGAGTTCTCCCTTGACCTTCTGTCAAACAGAGGTCAATATACAGAAAATATTCACAGGATTCTCTTCTCCCTGAGAGTTAACAATTCCCTGTAACATAGGAAAATCCTACCGGTATGAAATTCCTCAAATAGATCTGCCTCCAAAGTTGAGCACAAAATCATAAACATTAAAAAAAAAAGGACTGCCATCCTGACATAAAAATGACATACAAAAAATACCTTCCTGTTGGTCATAACCAAACTTGGAACAAATTCAGAATGTAGAAAGAAAAATACCAATTTTCTTCAAAGATAGATAACATGGATAGATAATGAATTCAATGCAATAAGAATACAACACAATATAAACATAAAATACAGCTATGTAGAAGGCCTGTTTGTGAGGGAAATAAAAGGCA